TGCATGACTGCGGAGGAAGATTTTACCATGTGACTTACTTATCTGATTCATCAGATCAGCGCGCCGTAACAATATGTTTTACTAATTGATCAGCAGGGGGTTGGAGACTTTTGAGTACCCACTGTATATAAACTGACAACATTTTACCAAGTAAGCTTATTATTGTTTATGCTTCAGGCAGGCTTAGTAGTTGCTAGCTTTCAAATGTTCTCATGTATTTTATTGTTTTTTTCTCTCTCATAGATTAAAATTTTGATAATTGCAGGATTTTGAAAAAAGCAATAATTAAAGCTCACTGATATTATAATTTTACAGGTTTATTGATTGACAATGATTACTAACTTTTAATCTTTTGGCAATTACAATAAATTAATAAATTAAAGGCTTGTCATTCCCAACAGCTTACCTTAATAAATAACTAATTTACCATCTATTTAAAATTTTGGGTTGTTTTATACAGTTTATTTAATTCTTGAACTTTACTTTTTAACTTGGATTTATCATCATATTGTAAAATATAAATCTTATTTCGTGCTTTAATATATCCTTGTTCAGCTGCCTTTTGGTATAACTCAATTGCCTTGTGTTCATTTTCTTCCATTCCAATTCCATATTCATAGCAATAACCAAGATTATGTTGTCCATATCATGTCCTTGTTCAGCTGCTTTTTGGAACAATTCAATAGCTTTTTGAATATCTTTTTCTACTCCAATTCCATTTTTGTAACATATACCAAGATAAGCTTGTGCAAAAGCATTTTCTTGACTGGCTGCTTTTTGATACAGTTCAATTGCTTTTTTAAGATCTTTGTTCACTACATACCCTTTCTCATAATGCTCACCAAGGTTATATTGTCCATAGGAATCTCCATTCTCAGCAGCTTTATGAAATAATTCAAAAGCTTTTTCATAACATATTTTTGATCTAAGACTACTTTGATAGTAATGACCAAGACTATTTTGTGCTTGAGCATATCCTTGTTCAGCTGCTTTTTGATACCAATCAGCTGCCTTTTGTTCATCCTTTTCTACTCCAGTTCCAAGGTGATAACACAAGGCAAGACTAAATTGTGCATTAGCATGTCCTTGTTCAGCAGCTTTTTGATACCATTCAACTGCCTTTTGTCTATCCTTTTCTACTCCAGTTTCATTATCATAACACAAGGCAAGATTAAATTGTGCATTAGCATGTCCTTGTTCAGCAGCTTTTTGATACCATTCAACTGCCTTTTGTTCATCCTTTTCAACTCCAGTTCCATGATGATAACACCACCCAAGATTAAATTGTGCATCAGCATGTCCTTGTTCAGCTGCTTTTTGATACCATTCAACTGCCTTTTGTTCATCCTTTTCAACTCCAGTTCCATTCTTATAACACAAAGCAAGATTATATTGTGCATTAGCATGTCCTTGTTCAGCTGCTTCTACAAGCATTGCAACAGAAATATTTTTCTCTAGTTCATTCTCAGAGATTGTAGAAGTCATTTTTAGTTTCTTTGCCAGAAATTTACTATGTTTGAGTGGTAATCAACTTTCTAATAAACTTTCATGCATTAGCGCGTTTTTTATAAATAACTGCCAATTGTGCAATAGTCATTAGCTCGGTGAAACCGCTCCTTGTAATACATTCCATTGATAGCATTAAATTAGTGTCTGTTAGAAAATTTGTTGCACTAATTCAGATTGTAACGACAAAGACTCCGAGATAATCTGATTGTTTATTTATAGAAGTTTAATGATAACGAGGTAATGATACTGTTGGAATTAGTGAATTTCGATGCAATTTCGCATCCGAAAAGTTAGTGTAACTATAACGGATATTTAATTGCGCCCTGTTACTATTACTATGAAAGTGCGCCCCGGTTTCACAAAAACATAACACAAATTTAATTCGTGACAGGGTCCAAAAAGTGCGCTATAAAACGCTCGAAAAATTCCATAGTATTAAAATATGCCAATTAGTAGCATCATTGAAATTTAGTTTACAAGAATTTGTCGTAACCGTTTTTTGCGCGTCAATGACAAGAAGATTTGCTGTAAATTTATTAACATTGATAGCAAAAAGAACTTTAACGTAAGGTGTTTGTAACAAAGCCAATAGTCTTTGTCTAGCGAGTACAATAATATATATACAAGCAGGTGGTTCTCAACAGTCTTTCTAAATAGATTTTTATGACAGGTGAAATTCGTGTGACATTCACAATAAGATTTATGATTTTATATACGATGCTATCCATCAACAAGATTTTGACAAAAATTAATTGAAATAGAATCAGCATTACTTGTTGATTCAAAGCCGTTTACTTTGGCCAAAAACTGTGGCTTATTGGACAGACATATCTTGATGACGAGAGCGAATACAATAACTTTAAATCCCATGTTATCTGCTCAATATATTTATTGTTTGAGATGACTTCCGACAATTACGGTACTTTTTGTAGACTATCGATAATTTTCGGAATCATAAGTAAATCATTATTATATTGAACACTTGAGGTATTATCTGATATCTCTGTTCATACGTTGTAGGTGCTTGGTTATTGGACGCGTTGAATGTGAATATGAAAGAGTTAATAAATAGTGATATATTAATATTTTTATCATCACATTCTGCTCAATCATGTTGCTAAATTCATGGTATTTATACCCTACAAAAGGTGTTCAGTATAAGTTCAATACCAATTTGCTTGTTGCCAATAGTTTATTGAGATCGCTTACGCGTTCTCTTATCTTGCCCCAACGTTGCATTCAATACGATATGTATGATTATTTAATATACTCTTCAACCACATTCTATTAATGAATACGGTTACACTCTCAAATACAATGGTCATTATTATGTTAAAAATATTATCAACCATCACATTGCTAATTTGAATACGTTTTCAACTATCGTCATCACCGCCACCATTAATCCAAGTTAACTTTGTCCTCTGATTGCTCAGAGTCCACACATCCGTCTCCTCGTACTCTGTAATACATTGCAACAACTGCTGCTCTGTATATCCCTTAGCGATGGCGCGCTCTTTAATATCTACGTATTTCAAATTCTTCAATGGACCTTTCTTCTTACCCTGTCTTGCCATTGATCGAATAAGATTATAAAGTGCCGTCGTCGGAGTTCTGTCGATATTATGCGCTTCGTCACTGCGTTTTTCATATAACGATGATTTTGAGACATCGATCAGACGCAATGCTTCATCTACATCGGATTGATCTACAACGTCTTTTAGCCTTAAACGAGCAAGAGCTTGCGATAGACGAAGAACAGCGAGGAGAGTACGCGGGCTAATATGTGTGAATTCTTTCTGACGCAATTCATCTTGTTTTTGCTTTTGTCGCAAGTTGACATATGCATTAACGACATAGGCTGTGATATCTCCCGGGACCACCGGGCGCTTCTTGCGTGCTTCAGAAATGTAATGTCTGATAAAATTGAATATTGAGATAATTAGTGAATATTCATAATTGACGGCAATCCTTAGTGCACTACATATTTCAATTATAATTTATGTTTCTACTCACCTTATCGTCAAGGTATCCAATGACTCAAAATCCATATCTGGATGTTTCTTGTACATGTGTACGTGAGTAATATGTTGCGCCAGCCGAGTATCATCTTCTGGTGTGGGTGTATCCAGAATTAGAAACAAAATATCAAATCTAGACAATAATGCAGCCGGGAGGTTGATATTGTGCACTGGAGATACTTTAGGGTTGTACCTCCCATACAGAGGGTTGGCTGCTGCGAGAACAGATGTGCGTGCATGCAGAGTCGTTGTAATACCAGCTTTCGAAATGCTAATAGTCTGTTGTTCCATTACTTCGTGAATAGCTGTACGATCAGTGTCGTCCATCTTGTCAAATTCATCAATGCAACATATGCCATTATCCGCTAGAACTAATGCGCCACCCTCTACAATAAAAAAAGAGCTAAATTTATTAACATGTCTTGTATTATGATTAGTTGGAGATCCTAATAGCTTCTTATGCTTACCTAAAATCATCTCACTAGTCACTGGATCTCTAGAAACAGAAGCGGTTAAACCCACTCCAGAACTTCCTCTTCCAGTAGTATAAACTCCTCGGGGAGCAGCTTTAGATATATATTTCAACAACTGTGACTTGGCGACTCCAGGATCTCCCATCAAGCAAATATTCAAATCTCCTCTAATCTTCATTCCATCTCCCATCTGCTTGGTTACGCCTCCAATCAATTGTAGCAATAATGCTTTTTTCACGTCTTCATGACCGTAGATTTCAGGTGCTATACTTTTAGACAATTTCGTATAGACCTCTGGGTCTTGAGATAACTTTGTAATAAGAGAATGTATCTCGGGTGTGGTTTCCATTTTATCATATTGTTGTTTGAGTTGAGTCACGTTATGTACTTCAAGATATACGTCAGTTAGAAGACCAGCACGCAAAGCCTTAAAGCCTGTATATGGAATAGGAAGAAAAATGCCAGCCACATCGACAATGTCCCCTGGGTTGAGTGAGCGGGCGATGGATCCATAAAGGTGAAGAGTCATTGAACGAGGGATATGGCCTACAGGAACTTGATCTGTCTATAGGTAAAATAAAGATATCAGCCTAAGTTTACGTGTAGAGGAACGAGTCCATTGGGTGCCAAAGAGAATTGGTCTAATCAACAATTCTCTGGTAAATGTTCTCCACAAATCGAGTCAATCTCATCGCATACTCACCAATTCCTGCATCTTAACCTCTTGAAATGGTACAAACTTGCTTCCTCTAACATTCATGTGCAAGTGCCCAGCAACGCTATTCTTTGTGCATCGTTCTGATGTGCATTGTGTCAATGGCATAAATGTCCTCTTGGTTATTTCCTGGAACGTCTCCTCGCCACAGAGATCGCATAAATATGTATTTACTTGCACAAATGGGTTAACATTCGTGACTCGGGTAATCATGCCTCGAACTATCACTAGCTGGCCTAAACGGTCGCCCCTCATTTGACGGATTGCGTATGTGGGTAATTGAGATGACGGAATTAAGTAAATGTGGCTGTGATAGAACAAGTATGTCAGTGAGTTTGAAAGCAAGCACGTAACATTGGATAAATTACAAGGTTGGCAAAGCCATAGTTAATATCATCCGATCATTTCAAATGTAATCCGTTCACCGCACTAAATTTTGTTACATCGCCTCTTTTCTCCGCCCATTTTCTTATCATTTATTTCCCATCCCACTTACTATCTCCTTAGCAACGAAGGTGGAAACGCAGGTCCCATGCTCTGGTCGCTTGCCTTAGCCTTCTCCGTTAGATCGTGGATTCTCCAGTCCATATCTTCATCCTCTACACTCAACTCTACTGTCGACGAAGGCATTATTACATCTATCGCGCGACAAAATAGGTCAACATATCTCTTGCCATTTTTAGTTATGCGTTTAAACAATTCATCATGAGTCTTTTGAAACTGAAATTCAAAATGTGCGAAAAAACGGGCGACGCATGTAAGTTTGAATTCATAAGAATGTTCACCGCAACAATTTGAATCACTATGCTACACTATATTTATTAAAAGCATACCGTGGCTATATCCTCAAGCTCAATGCACAACGATTTTTGTCTTCGGTTTGCTATTTGTTGCTACAAACGAAGGCCGTAAGTAAATAACGTTATGCCATTCGACGATGCAAGAATTCAAGCATGCGCACGTTTATGAATGTTTATCTTTTTAATGCCTATTTTGAGAACTGACCAGTTGTATCCTGTATTTAAGTGTTCCCTCATTATCAACTACCTCTTCGCCATCGATATCCATAGCATCCTCTCTAGGAGGGCTTGTCTTGAAGTTGAGTAGGAAATCCTTTATTATCTCTACATAATGGTTACAATGAATGATGTATCCGGAATATTAATGGATACTGCAAAATATTGTAATGAGCATACTAACCGAGTTCTGAGTTATGATCAATATCTATGTGGACAGTGACGATTGACATGTTTGCAAACGCGGGACAGGAATACGACGCGTGCGTGGAGAGAATGTTGGTACGTGATTAAATGATGTGCGTACACGTGATCAAACAATTATGTGAGAGTCTTGGTTCGACATATTTGCAAGGTTGACAGTTCATTGATGTTCCACTATTACTATATGTTCAGACAAAGCTATTTCTTCATTGACTATAATTTCAAGTGTGCAAGATGGTTTTCAACTTCTTGCAATAGTAACTTCTTTTTTTCATAAACACTCATCGGCTTTTATTATAAAGATTACAAGTTCGATTGATGACCAAAATTCAGATAATCTTCTAAAGTATTGAGAGTCTGAAGATTAGGACTGACGAGTCTTATCGCTAAAGATTTGGAACTAGTAATCAACAATATATATTATACACCAGCACCAGCCAAAAAGATTGTATACTTCATAGTAGGTAGCCACCTTCCCTGGAATTCTCGTCATGATGCAAACTATCTAACAGAGTTTCATTTTGGGTAGTAGTAGTAGCGGGTGGACAGACTGTTCTGCGTATCCAATCATTCTGCTTCGCCTGGAGGATTCGCTTAAAGTCGTCAGCGATCAGACGAACTTTTGTGCTTGTCGAAAGTACGAGCCATCTGTCTACGATACTTTTCTCATCCTGATCGTAAAAGCCGAGCTTAATACAAAGTCTTATGAAAGATAACTTTTGATGTCTTTCGGTGCATTGGTCAATTGTAGCACATTTGGCAGCAAAACACTTAAAAATAACGTGTTTGCTTAGAAGTAAAAGAGCCGCGGTAAAATAATTTATG